GGGGACAGTAGCATTCCACACCCCAGGGGCTTTGGAAATTTGTAGGAGGAGAGGTATTCTGTTGTTACCATGATTAGGAGGTTAAAATAAGGAGTCGGGATATTAGGCTTGATGCAGTGCACAGGGCGGTTCCACACAATTAAATGTTGTCCTGTGCCCGCACAATTTACAAATGTTTTGATGGGTATCCATATTGGTGAAGAACCTGCTTATCATTCTGGGCCCAGAGCATTACTACATTTTACATAGAAACTCAAAGTTGACTTTCACCGTTGTTGTTGTTCATGGTTTTAATACACATTAAATTTTTTAGGAATATAACCACCATGTAAATTGAGAGTTAAAACATTATGGAAAATTGCCTTACTGGCATTGAAGCCCTAGACCAATGTACTTTTATCAGTTTATATTCACTATTTGGGCATTTGCAGAGATTCTATGTATAATCTGAAAATACCACCACTATCCCTAAGCTTATAAATCATGATAGATGTGTTACATAAATAATTTTCATTTGGGTTCATTTCATATCATATTTAGAGAATTATACTCACTTTAAAAAAAGTGTGGAGTAAGTATATTATTTATTAATTTGATTTCACTTAAGGTAGGATTACAGTACAAAATATTTATTATAAAAAGAGCTATGTCAGGCCTGGCACAGTGGCTCATGCCTGTAATCATAGCACTTTGAGAGGCTGAGGCAGGTGGACCACCTGAGGTCAGGAGTTCAAGACCAGCTGGTCTACATGGTGAAACCCCGTCTCTACTAAAAATACAAAAATTAGCTAGATGTGTTGGTGCACACCTGTAATCTCAGCTACTCGGGAGTCTGAGGCAGGAGAATTGCTTGAACCTGGTGGGGGTTACAGTGGGCTGAGATCGAGCCATTGCACTCCAGCCTGGATAACAAAAGTGAAACTCCACCTCAAAAAAAAAAATAAGAGCTGTGTCTGACAAGGTTGAAACCTACTGCTCCAGAGAGCAGTCATATTTCCCTGTTCAGATATTCTCTGCTGGCTCATATGGTCTCTGGTTCTCTGATTCCACCTGCTGGCTCCTGAGGTGCTCACCTTCTCCACGCCCCAGAATCCACAAGTTAAGAGTTACTCCAAGCTTACACCATAGCCTCAGAGAACAGGACCCAGACAGGTCCATTCTGCCTCGTGCACTCCGAAGAAACAAGCAACTTGTTGGCAGAAGAGTTTCTCTCAGTTTCTAGGAGAAAGCAAGTTTATCCACCTGGTGACCATGAAGCACACCTGAGAGGTGTGAAAACAAGAAGAAACTTGCTCCCTGACTATGGTAACTAGTGCTTTTTGCAGTTTTAGGTATGGAAGGAGAGAGTGCAAGTGTAAGAGATGATTTAGTTGCATTTCAGGATATTTCTGTCTCCCTCTTATTCTTTTAAAGTGATTTATTACTGTTTTTTGCCCTTCATTTTACATAACATAAAAATCCTTTCTTTCTCCAAAATATTGACTACCTATGAAATTATAAGACTCTGAAATTTTAAAAAGAAGAAATCTGAACCAGTCACTAAAATGTCAGCCTCACCCATTAGAAGGCAACTTCTGTGAGCATAGAGTTCTGCATGTTTTGGGCATCATTCTAGTCCCAGCATGTAGAACAGTGCCTAATCTGTTCTCAATGATATTGATGGAATTAATGCATTCTGACATTGTGTAAAGAATCTTTTCCATTTTTTTCAGTTACAGAGATGTGACAAATATTTCTCGTTTCGCCATGCAACTGTGCTTCCAAACATCGAAGTTCAAATCTTTTTGTACAACCTTGTTTAACCCTAATCTGCTAACTTACTCCAGTGTCATGAAGAACCAGTATTGTGCTGGATCACGATCACATAGGAATATCGCTCAGACTTATGTATAATGAGTTTCATCTAGAAATCATAAAATCCCTCTCATGGCATTTCATTCTTGAAACCGTGTTTTGTTTGTGTTTTTGTTTTTCTTTTCAGTATTTCTTTTGCAGATCAAATCTACTGCTCTTGTTTCTCTTTTAAAGCAATGTGAAAGACAATGTTAAGATAGAATTGCAGTGTTCTTGGGGTATAGGTCATCAAGTTTGTCACCTATGATCAAAGTCTTTCTGGTGTGCCCTGGAGTGTGCCAAGCCATTTTCCTTCAGTCTGTGCCATAACTGGTGCTTTTTGCAGTTTTAGGTGTGGAAGAGGATTGCAAGTAGCAATCTGAAAAACCTACCTTCAAAAGAAGGGGGCAATGACTTAGCATTGTTCCCAGCCTGCTCCTTGTCATCAAAGGTAAACTTTTGAAAGACTGGTTCTCCATTCCTGTGGTAGGTAATGTACCCCACATAACATCACTGCCCAATCAAATCCCATATAAAAGTACTAACTGATCCTAAAGAAACAGAAAATAACAGGCACTCTTCCTGTGTTTCTTCATTTACCTACCTTTGTGGACGTCTGCTGAAAATTGTGTATCCACCATAACTCTAACTCCATTACAATGATAGCATAACCATTGTATTTGGATCTGCAATAAGTGCAAAAATAAATATGATGCAGTCCTCAGCCTTGAAGATTTTATAGTGTGGTAGGGAAATATAGACACGGATACAGAGATTTACGTGCAAAGAAGTCCTTCAATTGGATAGATTGCTGCAGAAACAGAAAAAGGAGTAACTAATTCTTCCTAAAGTGAGTGTTTGGGTAATGGAAGAAAATTAGGAAAGGCCTCTTAGGAATGAGATTTGACCTTGGCTCTGAAGAATAGCCTTCAAGTCATAGAAAACAACAAATCTAAGGCTGAGAAGTAGAAATAAGAATGATGTATCATCTAGCAAATGGAAAGTTTGGAGGACTTAAAAAGAAAAGTGTGGAAGTAAGTCAGAAGATGAGACTGAAAGTGGAATTTTGAAAACTTTTCTTAAAGGATAGTATACATTGGGCTGGGACGTTTAGACTTAAGGACTTATCTTAATTTCAACCTACGCTAGAAGGAGTGGAGAGAAGACAGGCTACAGATAGTGACGATTAGAACACATTTAGGAAAACATAGCAGGAAAGATAGCAGGGGAGCAACTAGGGCATTGGTCTTCAGTAGAAGTGATAACCTCAAAGGACTTTAGGGCTCTGTGGGTATCTTGAATAATTAAAGGGCTTAGTATAAGACAACAGAAAGTAATGGGACCTACAATGGCAGAAAGAGTAGGTGCCCCAAAGCACTCAAATTCAATATAAAAAGTAACAACGACAACATCTTTGTTGAACAAACAGAGCTCATCTGGAGATCAGATTTGTTCTGCCGATGTCAGTTCGCCACTCCTTGATCAATACAGAACAATCTGTTGACTCTTTTTGGTACCCTTTTGGAAGAGACAGCATCCCTGATCTTCTCTCGTGAACTATACTGGTGTTCAGTCACTCTGAAAGTCACAGACTTTGGTAATTTCTCAACTCTGCTTTTTAGTTCAAATTCATTTCCTTTTCTTCGACCTTCAGTGCAGCCACAGATCATTTGGGGTTTTCTTTCCCCCCATTCTTAGAGTGTTTCATATGTTTTACCTTCCAACTCAAATTACATTTTGTCTAAAATCAGTACATGAGATTACATTAATAGCCACAACTAAGATTTGCATAACACTTCATGGTTAAGATGCACTTTCATCTCCTTCTTTCAAGGTAGATAAGGTAAATTTTTCAGGTAAGAAAACCCAGACATCATTTAAATGGCATATGCAAGTCATACAGCTGGGAGATGGCAGTGGGACTTTGGTCCCCTCTCACTGAGCTGGTTTACTTTTTGTTGACCTCATTATGCCTCTTATGGCCTCTTTGCAGGTCGGATGACTCATTTGCATATTTGTTCTAAGTACAGAGAAGAAGAATATTGATTCAGAACTTAGAAAACAATGGCATTTTAATAAAAATGACACTTTGGAACTTAAAAACATTAATCTTTTCTTTAAACCCACAATTTTGTTGAGTTGATGCTGTGTTTAAAATGATGAATATTTAAAGGTTTGATATTTTTTCTTAATATGGAAAATTTCTTTCAGTGACTTACTTTTAATACTCTTGAATTTTGATCTCATTCATTCATTTATCCATCAAGCCTTTATTATCAGATATTGTGCTAGAAATACAAAAAAGAATAAAACATGGTTTCTGGCAGCAACTCAAGCTCCAGGTAATTTCTGATTGCCTCCATGCTGGATCCAAGAACTGACTATCTTCTGAAGGCTTTTCCCCTTTCTTTCTTTCATCCAGACCCTAATGTCCCTCTGAAAGAAGGATTTATACAAATATATCAATCTTTTTGATAGAACCAACTCAAGTTTTACTTAACTATAAGCAAAACTGGCAAGCATATAGCATTCTTCGAACAATAGGTAAACAGAAAAATCATGTTGCCTACAAATGTATTTTTAAACCAAAAAAACTGTGGGGGATGAGGGTGATGATCCAACTCAGAGAAGAGCCATTTCCAGTAGACTGTTTTGGAAAAATAACTGATTTGTCTTCTTATTAAGATTCAAGAGAGAATTGCATTTATGTAACTTGAATAAACATCTAAAATAATTAAGGATTGCCTGAATTTGAAAATCATGACTGCCAAATTTAAAACAGAGATGGAAACAGCCAATAGAAGGGAAATATTGAAGAAAATCAGTTAGTGAAGTACAAAAGAATTTGCAAAACTTTCCCAGAACACAGAAGAAATGGGTAAAACATTGAGGTGATGAGGGCGATTTTAAAATATGGGGCAAAGATCATGGAGATTCAATCGAGGAATACAGGATTCCCAAAAAAGAGAACTGAATAGATGGGCCAGAAACAAAGATCAAAATGTTAAGGTAAGAAAAGATCCAAAGAAACTCAGTTAAACATCTAGACACTGAAAGTATGAGTAACATTCCCATTCCCATTGTTTTGTCATAACAAAACAATGACAAGGCTCAACCATTAAGAGAACATAAAAATCCTGGACATTTTTACCACTCTGCACCCCAAGTCCTGCCCCTGCCGCCTGCAGCACACACAGAATAAAACAAGCAACAACCCATCAAGTTATCTGCTATGTCGGTTAGGATAACCATCTCCGATGGCTTCACGAAGAGCCTTTAATAACGGCACTACTTACAGAAAGGATTAAAAGAGCAAACAAGAAGGTGAGGCCCCCAGAGACTTCCCACAACTTATTGATGTCTCTTGGGCTAAAGAAACAAGAAGAGGAAGTAGAGCTGGCAGAGCAGGGGCCCTGTGTGTGTTCTAAAACCACAAAGGGACACAGCTGCTGTAAGAGATTCTGCACTGAGCAAGAGGAAATGGGGAAAAGGTAAGTTCTGACCTCTCTCTCCCCTCCTGCTCTCTGATCACCTGCTGGTAACTTCCTTGCCTGAACCCAGCCAGGAGCCAGCAGGCAAGGGACCAACAGAGGCAGAAACAGCTGTGAGCCTTCTAAGTGGTCACAGCAAGGTAGAGAAACATTGAATGAATTTGGAAGATGGGACGAGGGCTTGAATAAGGAGAATAAGTACTATATATATCAAGGATCAAATAACTAGTTCAATTGAGAAATATTCAGCTTTGGGAAAAATATGCTGTAGTACATGGATTCCATATTCAAAAATACTATAGTACATTAATTTGTTGTTCACATGTGAATGAAGTAAAAAAACAGTCAAGGATAAGCAAGGTCTTAGGGAACCTTCTAGAGGATTCAATGAATGTAAGACAAACTCAGTCTCTGCTATGTGAGCTTATAGTCATATTAATATTAAATTGTAATAAACAGTGCCATGTGCTGGGAGGAAAAATTGCTCCTCTTCCATCTCAGGTCCTACTGGTTCGGGGCCTGTGAATTAACTGACAGTAAACAGATTAATAAGAGAAAAATGTACTAGGCATGCAGAGTACCTTATAGAGAACAGTTAGAGTCTCTTAGGCTATTAGCCTAATAAGACAGTCTATTAGTCTCTAATAAGAAGGGCAGAAGTTAGGGCTTCAAAAGTTGAAAGGTTCTGTTGGAACTCATTTATACCATTTTTTTGGATTGTCCTGCTGTGCAAGGTCAGTACCTCCCTGAATGGACACCTACCCAAAGGGGCTTTAGGGGCAGCTGATTCTCATAAAGCACTGGCAGATGAGGGAAATTCAAAGATTTGTTTCTGCATCTTCGGCAGCTTAGATGTCTTTACTTTGAAGTATCTCCAAACCAGACATGTTGGTCTCCTCACATCGTTATGAAAGTGGAAGCATAGGGTGCTATAGGCTTACCTTGGAAGGGAGGAACCTGGTTCAGCATGATTAGGGAGACCCTGGAAGGAAATCGGGTCGTAGTGGAGACTGAAGGATGAGTGGATGTTAATCAGGCATAGCACCTCAGGAGAAATCCAGGGAAAGGGATCAGTGATATGTACCATCAGGTTGACATCCAGTAGGTATTTAGCAACCATGATATTAGAGTTAGTTAAAATAACCTAACAACTAAAACCATGATACTGGAGTTAGTTAAAATAACCTAACAACTAAAACCATGATACTGGAGTTAGTTAAAATAACCAACTAAGAAAAGATTTCTTATCCATCACTAGGTTCATAGCTAAGGCTTCTGTAACAAAAGACAGTTACAGATTAACAAGAGAAAAGCATACAGACTTATTTAATGTAAGTCCTTCATGACACAGTAACTTTCAGAAATGAAGGTCCAGAAAAACAGAGAAACCTGTGTATTTTCATTGCTGAGTTTGATGAACAAGTGGATAGTTGTGGAAAAGTAAGACTGGATAATATAAGAGTAGTCTAATGATAGTAAACCAGGAGGAACTTAGCAAAGCCTGTTTGTTCTCTGGGTCTTCAGAGCTCACATGAAGGTCTCATGGCCTATCCAGGGGAAGGTCAGAAACTCCTTTTCTGGAACTTATGACCTGCTTCAGGGAAGAAGGGTGGGAGAAGGTCAGAGAGAGATCTTCCTGCTTTTGCAGTTTTCTCAAACACGAAGGTGCCATATTTGGGGATAGCATATCCTCATCCCCATAAGAATCATATTCTCAGAGATATGTCAGCCATTGGCAATACTAACTCTGTCTCCACTTTTTCATCTCCTTTCATTGCTATGCTTTATCATGGTAAGAGAAATAGTGCAGCTAACTTATTGTTTAGTTTCCCAGAAATTTGGATGAAGTTGCTAAGGAAATATCTTGTCAAAAACCTCTTTTTAAATTTGTTTATTCAAATGAAGAAAGCATAGGGAGTTCTTCAATAGTTTTACATTAAAAGTTATATCTTATATTGACTAACAAAGATTTTCTCCTTGACCAAACTTTATCAAGTCTCCTCTGAGCCCTCTGCTTGACTAGACCCCCACCTGGGCTTCTGTCTGCATTGTTATAGTAGAGTCCGGTGTGGCCAAGAATCTGGTCAAGTCAATTTAGCCATAATCCTCCACCCTCCATCTCTGATCAAATTACCTGTACACATCTCCTACCATCTCCCAGGTGACAGCTAATCACCCTGGCCTGACTTCAGAAGAATCTTGTTAGGTCAGTTTAGTGAATAATTACCCTACTGATATGGTTTGGCTCTGTGTCCCCACCCAAATCTCAGATTGTAATACCCATAATTTCCATATGTCAAGGGAGGGGCTTGGTGGGAGGTGATTGGACCATGGGGGTGGTTCCCCCATGCTGTTCTCCTGATAGTGAGTTCTCACAAGATCTAATGGTTTTGTAATTGTTTGACAGTTCCTCCTTCACACAGTCTCTCTCTTGCCACCATGTAAGACATGCCTGCTTTCCCTTCTGCCATGACTGAGGCTTCCATGTGGAACTGTGAGTCAATTAAACCTCTTTGTTTTGTAAATTACTCAGTCCTGGACAGTTCTTCATAACAGTGTGAAAACAGGCTAATATACCTACTGTCTTAGTGATGTTGCACGCACAGAACCTCCAGCTCTGCTCGTTGGCTGTAAATTTGCCCTTTTCCTTGCTGTATTTGAAGTAAGCCCAATCTTGCTCCTCTACTGTGAACCTCATTGAAGTAATCCTGAATAAAATCTGCCTTACTGTCTTAACAAAAGTGTCAGAATAATGTTTTTAACATGACACACATTTCAGTAATTATTATGCTTAGTAATTATTTAAGGGGCATACAAAGAAAAAAAATAGCACAAAAAAAGGAAATAATCACAAAATGTACTTGGTAGTAAGGTATATATAGCCTAAAATTCAGATCATTAACTTGTAACAATTGTTTAAAGTTACTTTTTCTCTGGAAAAATGCAACTTTTATGTTTATAGTTAAATGTGTAATTAAGTATTCTATGCATGTCATATATAAAGGTATATTTATGCAATGTAATTTTAATCAGCTTTCTATAATATTACTTATCAATAAAAAGAAAAATGCAACCGTGCTTTGGACTTTAATATGCAGAATCTTAATTCTCCCATACTGTCACTTTTGTGGGAAAATGTAAATGGTTGCATAAGAAATATGCTGATGTAACTTATTTTTATGTTATGAAAATAATGTGATTCTTGGTGGCTACGAAAACAGAGTACTGTTGAATGAAATATATGCATGAAGGGAGCTATTAAGTCACACTTTATCTTCTTTATCTGGGTTTGTGATAAAATGTTCCCTACTGTTTAAAAAAAGGTGCAGTGAATTGAAGAGCTAAACTCTCTCCATCAAGGGACTAATGATTCTCCTGTTAAAATGTAAATGGAGCGGCCTTGAGTGCTTTAAAGCTTGCAAGGGAAGACTGTGGAATTGTCATTATCCTGTCATTACTGTGGCTCCCCACAGGAGCAATTGTAAAGGGGAAGGAGGGTTGAACTGAACCTCTAAGTACCAGGGACACTTCCTGCAGCACTGAGACAGTGAAGAGAAGAGAAGAGATGGTAAGTGAGGAAGCAAGCATTTTAGAAGGTGATATATTAATAGGTTGGGTATTTGTTCCCATTCAAATCTCATATTGAATTCCACTTCCCAGTGTTGCCGTGGGGCCTGGTGGGAGGTGTTTGGATCAAGGGGGTGGACTTCTTATGAATGGTTAAGCACCATTTCCTTGGTGCTGGCCTCCAGATACTGAGTGAGTTCTTGCAAGACTTGGTTGTTTAAAAGTGTGTGGCTCCCCCTCGCCCCCCTCTTTCGCTTGCTCCTGCTTTTGCCATGTAATGTGCCTGCTCGCAATTCACCTTCTGCCATGATTTTAAGCTTCCTAAGCCCCTAGAAGCAAATGCCAGTGCTGTATCCAGTCCAGCCAGCAGAACTGTGAGCCAATGAAACCTCATTTCTTGTAAATTACCAGCCTCCGGTATGTCTTTATAGAAGTGTGAGGACAGCCCAACACAGAAGCTCAGGTTACAGAGAAAGTCCTTAGCAGGCACAGAGGCCTCAGCCACTGTTGGGGTGGATGAGGGCAGGTCTGAAAAGATTACAAGTTTTTTTGGAAGCCAACAGAAATCAGTCTGGGGCTGGGCTCAATCTGGACTTTATTCTTCCAGAGCAGAAAGGGGCTCAAAGGCAAGAAATTGTCCTTGGACCGGAAAGCAGAAACGAAGTGAAACGGGAGAGGTCCATGGGCCTCTGAAATTGTGTGTGAAAATGCATGTGTCTCTGTAGTTTTTTTCCTAGGGAGAAGATCAGACCTTTAGCAAACATCAGATTCTCAAAGGAGTCAATAACGCTTTCCTTCTTTCCCCTTCTCACTTGGCCAAAGAAACACAAAAAGCTACTGAACTAGAAACAAACTTCCCATTTATGGAGTTCTTATTACCTGAAGGTGAAGTGTCAACAGGGGCCACTTGAAATAATTTATTGTTTTAGACTTTTGCCAAGAGAATTGATTAACCTACGCTTACAATTGCAATGTTTTCCCCCTCAACTGTATGTCATTTATCTCTAAACTCATTCATGCTATAGAGGAATTTAATTGTGCATTGAAGTTAATCTGTGTTAAACTAATGTGTTAAATGGAATGAAGGAATGTCTTCTGAGAAGAATTAAAAGTCCAGAACTCAAAAACTAGAGTTTTAATCTATTTTTCATAAAATATCTTCCCTCCTGTCCCTCTCACCTTCAGGCCCCAGCCCATATGTGGCATCCACAAAAACCCACATTTTCCTACCAGACTATATTACCCACATAACTTTCATCTTTACTCTCAGGATTCATTTTCTGTTTTGATATATATGTTTGGGCCCTTTCTCTCTCTGTCCCCATGCTTCTTAACGTGGAGTGACAAAACCTGGGTACCACACAGGAGCAAGGTGTCATTATCAGTGTGGCATTTGCTGTCCATGTCAGGTTAGGTTTGCTGGATGGCTTGTAGTCCAGGCATCTGGCAGCTGCTGTTTGTGTAAGGCTAGTCTCATTGCAGTTTTGAGTGGAGTTCTCAGAAGGTAGGTAGCATCAGAGGCACATAGAAATGGAAATGGTTGGCACTGAACTTGGCGACTGCTCTCCTTTTATGTCATTTAAGGATTTATTCATCATCTAGCTGGAGGGGAAATATGTGCATGTTCTCAGTAGTTATAAGTTTAATGCCAGCTTATAGGCACATTTTGCTGGCAGTCTTTTTAATGATAGGATGAAAAGCTTTCAGAGGCAAGAAGGTAATGGTGGGGAGCAAGAGACTGTGACAAAAATAGGGACGTCATAATTTGCCTCTCCTCCACATTCCTGAATTAGAATGTATGGAAAATTGACTCTGGGGTAAAGCTATTTCTGCTCTTCTCTGCTCTCATCCATTTAGTGCAAATGAAAATGCTGAAAAATTATGGACCCAGAAATCCTAATGTACATGATGTAACGGAATCTTAAAGACATGAAGAAGACCATCTAAAAATATTTTTCTTGATAGAAATCTGATATAATCAGGACATTTGATAAGATGATAAATAAATTCACCTATTATTCTAGAATCAAAACTAGTTAGGCTAAGGATGTGGTGTATAATATAGAAAAGAAGGCTTTTTTTTTCTGGATATCCTGTTTCCAAATGAGCATTCAAATTTTTTAAGATAAAAATTGATACTAGAATTTTATATACATATATTTTTCATGTGTTGAGACTTTTAGAACAAAAACCTTAAATATACTCGCTGGGTATTATATTTCTTGCAAAGGATCTTGAATTATGTATTCAAGAGTGTTTTAAGTATATTTATTTTCTGAGGCATTATACTTAGCCAAAATCATTTCATGATATATACATTTTCTATATTTTACTTTTGTTTATGAAGTATACTTCTATAATTGTTTTTAATATTAAAGATGATTTTGTAATAATTTGATATTATGGATAGTTCTACACTTCACACCTTCATTTGTAAAATTTTAAATATATCTTTTAACTGAGCATTTTGTTTAAAGGAGGAACTTTATATCAAAGAACAATTTCTCTGGAGGAATTCTTTTCTCAAGTATGATCTCCTACTATTGCAGTTTGAAGTTTGGAAGCCTTTAATAATGTCACTCCAACAGTATATGTGTTCTATAAATTAAATAGCTTAAGTAAAAATAGGTGAAGAGTATTTATCATCATATTTGTTTATATTCTTAAAGCAAATATATTTTCTATACTAGCTCTGTCTGCTGAAAAAACCTAAAACATGACCAATCCAATACCAGTAAACTCCTCTACCAGCCAGATGGTGGTTTTACGTAACCACTTCCCACTAGAACAAAATAGGGCTTGTTGGAGAAATGGCCGATTTCAGGTCAAGGGCAAGATGAGCCTGGCATATCGTAAGTGAAAGCTGGGAAGCAATTAAAGTCAGTTAATGTCATGTCAGAAAAAAATCAGGAGCCAACTTGGAGAGTCATCCACACACCCAAAGATGAAATCAGTGGATTTTCACATATATGTGATGCTCAAATTGAAGCATATCTAATACACTTAAGTTCTTAAGTTCATAATGACATTGGGGGGCAAAAGCTGATTAAGAAAAAAAATACGCATTGGTCAACTTTGGAGGATGCCAGGAAATCATTTCATTATTTTGAAATTGGTAAATAAAGGGAAAGAACTGAGCATTCTGGTTTTCCAAAATGAATTGTACCACAGGATAACCAAATGTTTAAAGACCAGCACTTTCTTTTTATAGAATTTTAACCCATGGTTACAGAAGGAATAATATACTTAGAATATTACCACTTTGGGATCCTAAATGAAATATGGATCTAGAGAATGATTATCATGAGCTGCTAGCAGCACAAAAAGAGAGACAATCCTCCTGATGGATGTACATACCACTATCCATAAAATACTCCTGTCAAAAATTAAACCTGACCCAATCAGCCTCTGCAGCCAGCTACCAAATTACAGGAGATACATAGAACAGAGGAACGTGTTAAACTATTTCACTGGCATGGAACCAGCATAGTCTAGAAACCTTACAGGACAAACCATAAACCAAGGTATTTTCAGCAAATGAATTGCAAGAAAAACAAACAAAGAGATATGCACCTATGAAATAAATGAGATTTGAGACACATCAACCAATTGCAATGCATGAACTTTATTTGATACTGATTAAAACATTCAAGTCATTTAGAAATGATGAGTAAATGGAGAAATTTGAACACTAACAGGATTATTTGATGATAGCAAGCAATTGTCATTAATTTGGGTAGGTATAATAATAATGTTGTAGTTACTTTTTTTAAAAGAGTTATTTTAAAGTTCTATACTGAAATACAGACAGAGTTGGCTTCAAAATAATCTAGGTGGTTAACAGAAAGAGGAGATGTGGGTAAGAATATCGATGAGAGAAATTTGGCTATGCGTTGATAATCATTAAAGCTGATGCTTGTCCATGAA